TCCCTCCCTCCCTCTCTGTCTCTCTCTCTGTCTCTGTCTCTCTGTCTCTGTCTCTCTGTCTCTCTCTCTCTCTCTCTCTGTGTCTCTCTCTCTCTCTCTCTCTCTCTCTCTCTCTCTCTCTCTCTCTCTCTTTTTTTTTTTCTCGGTAATGACCGATACTGATCCTATCTTGGCTGCTTACCTCTGGACTGAAACCCTTGTAGTTGTACACTGCAATATGTGTCATGACGCGGTGGAATCAAGCGCTCGTCAATTTTTGGTCATGTGCTGTTATTGGTATCATCTTTAAGCCTGTTCATTTTTCTTTCCTTGGGTGGAAAAGATCCATCTATGTTGAACAGAAGTCGAAATATTTGTGATTGAAGGAGGTCAGGGTCGCCTTGTTTCAGAGGTAAAATTAACGAGAAAATGGCCGCCAAAGTTGAGTTATTTCCTAAGCTTAAGAGTCTGTGGAAACTGAAAATTTACCTCTTTTTTACTTTTAAATATGTGTTTCAGTAAAATTCACATATATAAATGTGTTCTTTAGTGGGCATGAAAGGTGTAGAGCCCCCCAAAAAATTTATAACAATTCGTAAACTTGCAGAAAAACGCCAGTTTCTTGACTTTCCATTATTTTGATGAGCGCCTGATTTCACCACGCTCCCTCCCATATGTTACGAGCACCGTAAAACCTTACTGAAACAAAACAGACTGCAATGTTAGCTGGTCACATTTTATAACAAAAATAGAATTCTTAAAAAAGCGCTGAAGAGAAGGTAGCAAAGTATAAAAAAAGTTTCATCAGTCATTTATAGTATCTTATTATTATCCTATCGATATGTTGGACATCGATCAGTGAGTCTGCTTGAACCGAACAGGATTTAAAATCCCAAAAACAGCAGCAAACAAAAATGAAATAAAATAAAATCCCCTTAATGAAAAAAAAATTCTTTCTGAACCTACTATACTTTACTTTTACTTTTTCATCCTCTGTTGCCGTTAAGCGTCGAGGGGAGATGCAGTTTTCTATGGTGGTAGGCCAGCTCCGCAGCTCTTTCAGTTGTGATGTTATGTTTTCTCAGGGTTTCCTTGACACCCTCGATCCACCTTTTGTGTGGCCTTCCTCTTCCTTTTTAGCCTGAGCGTTTATTGTTGTAGGCTCTCGAGGCTGGCTGGTCAGGTGACATGGGTAACAGGTGGCCAAACCATTTTATCCTATGTCTTTCTATGTAACGCAGGCAGGACTCAGTGCCGATAGCTGCTCTTACTTCTTCATTTCTCTGCCTGTCTCGTCTTGTGATGTTGTGATCTTTCTGAGCAACCTCTCTATTTAAAGCAAATACTCAGCTCACCCAAAGAAAATGAGGCGGTTTGAGCGGACTTCTCTGTGTTTATTTCAGAGACTAAATGTGAGACGTGCTGACAAAATGAGTTACTTCTCACAATCCACAAATGGAGATATTGGCCAAAAATCGACACAAGGGTCAAATTTGTAGATTTTCTGTTGATACCATATTCTTTAAGTATAACATGCCTTATATTATTTCAAGCTTATAAATTGTAAAAACTTCACCTATAAGCGTGATGTAGCAATTTCCATAGGGCTCGAATTCGAGAAGTCACTCATTTAGTCAGCATGCTTCACAAATGCATGCTAAAGAACTGATTGAAAAGTTGTTTTTTTAAATAATTTATTCAGTACTTTTGTTGAATTTTCAGAAATTGACGTTGAAGCGCTTGGAAAACATGAACATCGATGCTATTCTCATGAGCCCTCCGTGTCAGCCGTTTACTCGTGTGGGCAAAAAGAGAGACTGCGACGATGTCAGAACGAAGTCGTTTTTGCATCTTCTCCAACTTCTGAGGCAGTGAGTAACTTTGAAAGGAGTGTGCTTACAGTAATTTTACGGAATTCCAAATGGATTTTTTTTCTGTTGTGTGATTTTACACCGCACATTTATGAAGTATTGATTTGTGTGGAAGGAAAGTTTGTTGTTGATAGTATTCGCGTTGCAAAGTAATGAAATGAGGCGCTTGTCAAAATAATGAAATCTAAGAAATGAGCATTTTTCTGTCCATTATGCAACTTTTATCCAATGTTTTTTTCTTTTGGCTCCCACCATCTATGCTTATTTAGATTACATTTTGAACTGAATTGGAGTAGAGATTGATTTAGGTAGTAGTGGATTTATGATTGACCAAATCAGGTAAATCAAAAGCTTTAATTTTTAGATGAATTCTGTTGTGTAAAGCCCATTCATAACTAAAAATAAAAAATCTTACTTCTTGTGTGTACTGAAAATATCAGTTTGTGGAATAGTTGTGGGGAATATTTCTTAAAGAACCCAGGCAGTTATCATGATAATGCTTGAGATATCATTGTTTTTATGGTGTTGTTTCAGCTGGGAGTGAAAAAACAAGTCTGGCAAAAACTTCCATTACTGTCTCATTTTTTTTCGTAAAATTTTTTTCTCTGGCCTTTTCCATCCGAGGTTGAAAAGGAAACCAAACTATTTACTTCTGGAAAACGTGAAAGGTTTCGAGGTGTCCTTGACCCATGCCCAGCTCATGTCCTGTCTCGACGACTGTGGCTATCATTACCAACAGTTTTTGCTGACCCCGCTACAGTTTGGCATCCCCAACTGCCGGCTGCGGTACTACTTAATTGCCAGATTGGATCAACCTTTCAGTTTTCCCATGGAGAAAGAGGTAATAACTCACGTCAATTGTTCTGTGTAAGGTTCTTTTGTTGATTTATTTTTTTGGGTAAGTGTTTTTACGGCGCTCGCAACTGCATAAGGTCATATGAGCACGCGCGACACCCAAAAAACATTTTTGGTTGGTAGGAAATTTTGAATTTTGCCCGGATAGCGGCTGAAGCCTACTCTTATCGATTTTGGACCCCCAAGGGATCTTTAATGACCACAACTTGCACACGGAACCTTCGAGATTTTTCTCCCTTGTCCGAGAAGGCTAGGTGTAGATCAGGGATGTGGCTGAAAGACAGCAGTAAGAAGGAGTAGCTGTAGAAAGAGCCAGGAGCCCAGTGGAGGGGGGCAAAGGAGGTAGAGGGGGTGGGGGAAGAAAGTGAAGACGAAAGCAGACGACAGAATATTTAGTACTTCCACTCTTCCGTATTTCTACGAAAATCCGTACCTTCTGCCAGTTCCGTACTTGTTCCTCCATCATTATCAACTCCCTCCGTAAAACTCTGCCACAGCGTAGGAATATCATAATTCCGTAGCAAAACATCCGTACTCACCTTTGTATCGTCTTGTATAAGTTGCAGATATTTATGGTGAGTCTCTCGGCAATAACTTTATGTATAGAAACCTGCCAGATTGCGCATTTTCTGCCATCGGCCATTATTCCGCTATGTCCCATGCTTTCATTGCTGGTTGGTCGGCTGTACATACTTACCTGCAGATTGATCAAAATCTGGCGAACTTTTTGTGCTTATTTCCTCCTTTCTATCGTTCCCTCATTCCGTCTGTCTATCTTCGGATTGTTGCCGCGGCGGAAAAATCTGCGCGTTGATCAAGTAAATTTGTAAATTGACATGTGATCTTAGACTGAAAATTACTGTCGCAAAGAAACTTTTTTGCAAATTTGTTGTCTAGATCTATACTATCCCGCCCTTGGCGCGACCGTGCCCTGAGCGCGACCAGTTCCCCATTTTTCCTTCTGTGCAGCTCGTGTGCAATCTGTTTTATTAGAGTTACGTGCCTTGTCTAGTTCCACTTTTGGTCAATCCTTTTCCGAGAACGTCAGTCGTCTGCTAGTGCAGCAGTCGAATTCGAAGTGAAAGGCTTATCAGAAACATTCTTAGAGAAGTATTCTTCAGTTACTAAACTAGAGTAGCTGGCCCAACCCGCGACCACTTGTCTCTATACCCTCGATAATTAATAAGATAATTGTTTTTATCATAATTTGATAAAGAAATGATTTTACTAACCTTTAAATGGTGTACTAACAACTTTCTTGTACCTGTCATATCTGTGCACGCATGGTCGCGCCCCGTTCCATATGCGGTCGTGCTGACGGCATGCGGTAGCGCCAAGGGCAGAGCATTAACATGTTAAACCGCGAAATCTGCGAATGACGTTTTGGAATGATTGACGATATCACAGTATAAACCGGAAGTTGACACACTGAAGCGGCCCTGAACATGGATTGCCTGACCTATTTTGCTGACAGAGACCGCTGAGAAGCAAAATATGACAAGTGGTCGCGGGTTGGGCCAGGTACTCTAGAGAAATTATTAATGCGAAGATTCTACGGCACGGGAACGTGATAAGGGCTGTGATGGAAGAAATTTATGCTAAAACTCACTAAAATCAAGAATAATTCGAAATGGTGTTCCGAGTTTGTGACATGCGACATTCAGACGTGAAAATTGAGGAAAAGTAGGGTAAACGCCGGGTAACTATTGTGAAGGTACATATCTATTAATTATTCCCACGTTTGCCTTCTATCAATGGTGCAATGACAAATTAATTGAATTAGGGTAGCCATGGAAGGGGAACCTGCTTTTAAACATTGCCAGCAATGGAAAGATATGTAGGTGAAGAAATCAAACAAGACAAAATGTTGGTGAAAAAAATAAATGTTATGGGTTGTAGTGTAGGCAATCTCTTCAAACAGGCTCCCGAATGCCATTTTCAACCCTCTAAAAGCCGTAAGTTTCTATTTCTTCAGCACTCTGTACCCCCACTGGGACGCTGTCCCTGGCCCCCGTCCCCCCCCCCCCCCCCCCGCAGAATTTTCCTTACTTTTCAGCTTCAGCTGCTGGAAGCACTGAATATTGCAAGAGAGAAGGAAAGAAGGTGAAAGGAGACCATTTTAGAGAAGAAACTTTTTCGGTCGCTACCCGGGGTCGAACCCGGGACCTTTGAATGAGAGGCGAACACATTAATCTCTAGGCCACGAGAGCCCCCCCCCTGTACGGTTCTGTCAGACGTCGCTTGTCAAAATGGCGCGGCGAAGTCTTCCACTTAGCAGTCGACTATATATATCTTTATATATATATATATATATATATATATATATATATATATCGTTGTCCTTGTTGTTAATCCCGAAACCTGTGGGTGTGGGACTTTTTGGCTCATATATAAAAAAACAAACTTGGCTGTGTGTTACAATTAATGTGATAATTTTAGTGTTATTAAACCACTCTATCCCACCGGGGCAGTGCCACTGACTGTAGTGTCTTTAGGCCATTCCCACAGGGGGGGGACATTTCTCGTTCAAGCACAGTAGAATTGTAAATGGGCTGAATCATGTCAGGCTCATAACTGCGTGATCTACAACTTGGAACTGCTGCTTTTTCTCTTTCCTGATCCTTACTATTGTCATTATTTTCCTCTACTTCTTTTGTATGTTTGTCACTCTCTTGTGACCTGCTATTTTGGGGTGCCTTGATAGTCGAAGCTGACCTTGTGCTGTTGAAGCTAGGGAGGTGAGCAGTCTAAGTCTGATTCCCTGTAAAGACTTCTCTGTTGAGACCCACCCGTTGGCGCTCATATGACCTTAAGCAGTTGCGAGCGGCGTAAAACCCTCTACTATAAAAAAACACAAAACCCACTCTAGATGTTAAGCCAACCCAAAGAGTTTACAGTCTTATCTTACTGCGCGTGAAGGGACATGAAACCTATGGCCAACCATTCTTTACCCAAATTTGTTAATTTCCGTGGCTTGCTTCTTGGCCTGTGAGTTGTTCCTTTAACACTTTGCCCGCACAGGGCGCCGATCGACGACGGTGATATAGCGTGTACCGCACCTGTGTCCTGGACTGAGGGGATAAATGTTGCGTGCTCGGCGCGCTGTGTGGGTGGATAGTGTTAAAGGAAAAATCAACAATTCAGACAAAGTTTTTCATTCTATTCCAAAGTGTAAAAGCTTTTTTTTTTCTGTCTCAGATAATGACAACCTTACCGAGAGTGGGCAGTCCTGTGGGAGTCTCCTCCGCGCCGGTCACGTCTTCAGAATCCAACAGTTGTAGCCCGACTCAGGAGCTACAGGGTTCTTCTGGTGTCAGCGTCGGCGTTGATGCCACTGTCTCATCACAGCAGTCTCAAGTCAACGATCATGATAACGGAAATAACAACAGCGAGCAAACTCATCGTGTCGGTGACAGTGGTGATGACGCTCCATCCTCTTCACAAACTGTCGGCGACCGTGTGTGTCAGGAAGTGTGTGGTTCAAACATCGACAGCGGCACTTCGGAGGTGTGTAGTGCGAAGGTCTCTCGTTTGGAAGTGGAGAAAGATTCGTCTGATCGTAGCCAGGGCCAGGGCAATAATTGGGATCAAACCTATCACACGGCGACAAGCTCTTGTGATCGCAGCAACAACACGAAAATTGACGGGGCGGTAGAAACTGGTCCTGGTGACAATATTTCAACACGTTTGTGCGCTCAAGACTGTGACTCTGTGAGTGATATCGAGGCGCTGAAGCAAGCGGGGCGTAACATGAGGTACTGCGAGGAGGAGGATCCGTTAATTGGCGCTCACAGTAGGCCTTTGTCACAGTTCATGGAACAAGGAGGAGAGGAAGACTTCTCCCAGTACCTGGTACCCGACCGCGAGCTGCATATGTTCGTGGTCATGGACGTTGTGTTTCCTGTCCTGAAAAAGTCGACATGTTTCACCAAGAGGTGAGATTTTTCAATTGAAAGTGTTGTTTTTGCGGGTGGTTGGAGGGCGCTTCTGGTAGGTCCCACTTCTTTGCCATTGGTTTTTTTTGTCTCTTGTGTCTTTTCCCCAGCACTAAACTACCCTCTCTGTGTCAATATACCTCTCTCTTGTGTCTTTTCCCCAGCACTAAACTACCCTCTCTGTGTCAATATACCTCTCTCTTGTGTCTTTTCCCCAGCACTAAACTAGCCTCTCTGTGTCAATATACCTCTCTCTTGTGTCTTTTCCCCAGCACT